GAAGGAGGCCGAGGGTCATCGTGGAGCGGTCAGGTTCCAGCTGTTACTCACAGAGGGACCTACAGTGAACCCCGCGGAGGACAGAGCAACTTCACTCGAGGGCCACTGCCTTCTCGGCAATCCCCTGCAAGTAAGGACCACACACACAGTTTTACATTTTATACGCTCTCTTTTTCAGTCTTTTATGTTCTGTTTTATTGCATTTGTTTTACTTTTTTATCGCTTTGACCTGTATTAAAGGTGTTATAGGGGGAAAAAAAAGTTTGATTCACTCGTTCCACACTTCAGGTGCGTATCGGCTGGCTCTTCGGGATCGAGCTCCACGCGGCAGAGGAGGTACTGGCCTGTCGTGGATTAGCGGCGGAGGAGGTGGCGGTGGTGCCGGGGGAGGCGTCGGTGGAGGCGGTGGAGGGGGAAGAGGATCTCAGGGGAGCAAGTTCAGCGGTGGAGGAGGGAGCGGAGGTGGGAGGGGCAGACATGTTCGCTCCTTCACCAGGTAAATCCACCTGGACAATGACTGCAGCCTCTCACGGCAACAAAAGGGCCAATCAGGATATTATATATGCTGCCTCCATGGAAACGTGGTGGTATGATGTTGTCACAAATAATGTACAGACTGTGTTGATGTTTTCAGTTTTGTTATTATTAGCTGTATTCAGAAAGTAAAAGTGATAGCAAAATGAGGCCTTTGTGTGTGTTTTTTTAAGGGAATGTCAAATAAATAAATCATCTGTGGTTCTCAGATAAAATGTTTCAAATGCGATCCCTCTTGTGCTGTCTATCGCTGTTTGCAACGGCTGCAGCGGCTGCAGAATTATTCAGTTTTTCCCGTTTTTGTTGTTGTTGTTTTAGTTTTTTTTATTTCTAAGGCTGATCTCATTTAAAGCTGCAAACCCTGAAACTGTTCTAAAAGGAGCACAAAACCAGTGGTATACAGGCACAGTTGGTATTATGGGATATTATGGAAACTTGAACTATGTGGTCATGTGGGACTAACATTAATATATCTTAAATAGGTGGAATATGTGACCGTTAACCCTTAAAAGTCGGAGCCATGAAATAATTGCCAGAAAATTCAAATTTTTTGAAAAATTCAGTTTTTATTGAACATTCTCTCCCATTGAAAAAATGAATTCAACATAATTTTTTTAAACTTGTCTATTTTTTGCATTTTCAATTTCACAAAAACCCACGCTGAATCGTTATGTGGTTAACCTCAGTTGTAAAAATATATGTTTGGGGATTCCAACTTCTTGAAGCTCACTGACGATACACTTAAAATGATGGTTTAGTCTGATCTCATGATCAAATAATAATAATCTTTATCGGGGGTCTGAAGGAAATCCAACACACAAAGACCTGCTCTTTAAGCATTAAAAACACAGCGTAACAAAACCTTCCTTTTGTAACACGTTTTACCCAAACCCTAATTTTGTTGCTAAAAAATACAAAAATAAAGATTTCATATATTGCAGCTTTTTCAGATCACTGTCACCTCCCTGCTCTTCTTTTTGATGCAGTCCAAGGTCAGACTCCGGGTCCCACCCTTGCGCCCTACCTCACCCAGCTGTGGTGATGGGGGTGGGCCTGATGCATGTGAAGCCTGGGCTGAATGCAGTGACAGACTGGAGGCATGTGAAGAAGCCTCTCTCTGTTGATGTCTGGTTGGCTCGGTGTGGAGTTCCCAGCCTGATGTCTGCACCTCTCCCTGATGCTGGTCCCTGGCTGCCTGTTCAGTGGGATTCTGGCTCCTGGTGGGCTGCAGGTCTCTGAGGAGCTGTAGCAGTTCTCTCTTCTCCAGCTCTGCCTCTGCCAGCTCTTGTCTCCTCAAACGCTCTGCACCTAGCAGTGCACGCATGTCACACATCACACGGGATAGCTGACCCTGAGGACAGAGGAGACAGAGGAGTTCATGGTTAACCCAATGATTACAAGGTGTATTCCAGTGAATACAAATCCAGCCCAAATCATCACCCCACCACCACCGTGCTTCTCAGTTGGTGTGACGTGTTTGTTTTGATATGCTGTGTTTGACTTCCAAATATTCATCTCATCTGTCCAGATAACATCGTCCCAGAACTCTTTGTTCAAATGCATCTTTGCAAACTTAAGTTGTGCTGCCATGTTCTTTTTAAAGAGAAGATGCTTTCTCCTGCAACCCTTCCAAACACGCCATACTTAATTGTGCTGTCATGAACTTCAACTTTTAATAAATTGCGGCATGTAGAGTCTGGAGGTAGTTTGGGTTTTTTTTTTTTTACAGTTTCTCTCAGCACTGCACAGTCTGACACTGGGATATCCACTCCTGGGAAAACTGGCAACTGTCTTGAGTGTTTTCTGCTTGTAAATAATCTTCCTTGCTGTATAATCAAACAGTTTGGAAATTACCGTATAACCTTTCCCAGATTGTTAATATCATTACTGATGTTAAGTCTCATTGGCATTGTCTTAACACACATCTTAATGCTCCAAAACAGCAAACTCCCTGCTTCTTTAGAGATTGTCATGCCAGTTAAGTGCATTTGATTATCGGTACGTGGCTTCATTTCCCTCTTAAATCCTTTGGATCCAGTAAAACTGTACATACACTGCTTCTGCATTCTGGCCTAGTTTTGTTATGTGATATGTCATTTAGCTGTGTGGTTCACCTGAGGTTGTATTTATTAATTTTAGAACCTGCTACGAACCAGATTATTTTTGAAATGACCGATAAATGTACTTTTTTTTTTTTTTTTACTGTGATTTTATGGACATAAAAAAGATCTGTAAACTGCCACCATTTATAGGCCTGAGAAGGTGTCCTGTGGTGTGAGGAATCAGACATAATTTTCAGGCCTTGCTTATTTCAAAAGGACAGTGAAAAAAACAGTTCTCACTGTTTTTAAAAAATATGGCACCCGAGCAAAAATGTCTGAATACTAAGCTGACATTCACACAGTTCAGACTTCTAAAAGCATTTTTCCTTTAAACTTTCAGCATTTTTTAAAATGATTTGCAAAACACTGCATTGTACTTTCATAGTAAATGTATCCCAAGGTCACAAATCTGTGCTTTAGTACTATTCATATAGTAAATCTTCTGTTGCATTTATGTGGTAACAGGACATTTTACCTTGAGCTCCTCCACCTCGTTCTTCAGCTGAGACTCTTTCTGCACCATGTGCCTCCTCTGCGAGTCCAGCCGAGACTCCATCTCTCGTCTCACCTCTTCCACCTTGCACAGCATCTCCACCCTACAGTTGACATTTAATGAGACCAAGTTATGATGGTGGTGTTACCTCTGAGTTCAGGCTTAGAAGAGAGCACAGAAGAGCTTACCTGAGCATCTCCACCTCAGTGCGCAGCTCCGCTACACAATTATGTTGTGACTGGTCAATGGAGAGCAGCGTGTGGCCACAACCATTAGGACACTCCCTGCTGCGAAAGCTACATTCTGACAGGTGAGCCTCCAAGCCCCGCCTCTCGACCTGCACGGGACAGCCTGAGAGGGGAAAAGTCACAAGGGTGCAAAGGCTCGCATGGAGCCACCACGTTATCAGTGTATAAGACAGGCTTCTAAAGCATCTCCACAAAGATGAAATTTATTTGCAGGCACAAATTTTTCCATAAAAATCATCTGTGTGTACAAAGAGGAGATAATCTACTAACACCACCAAAAATGTACTTTGTAAACACTTTGTGTATCTAAAGTAGAGTTATTAAATCTACAGTGTAGTCACAGATCACTGCAGTCACACAACAGCAGAAATTTCAGGTGTTTTTAGTGACTTAAACTGCACACCGCATGCACGCACACCACATGTGATTCAACCTACCACAGTGGTAACATATGTACTCTCCACCTGCCAAAGACGGGTCACAGACACATGGTGAGCACAAAAGCGCACACTTGCATGTACATGTCTCAAACAGACCTAAAAATCACTCATTAAAGAATGAATGAAAGCCGACTCTCACACAGTGCTCTCTGTGTGAGGCTTGTGGGAGCTTTCTGTCCTAAAAGTGCACCTGTTCCTGGGGTAGCCAAGACAACAACAGGGCCCACCTGTTGTTCACCCCCACAGACGTGTCACATTACAGTTGTAACATACACATCCATGAGGATAGCAGTTTGACTTTTACTGTCATAAAGACTCATAAAAACACACTGCATGAATAGTGTTTTGTCCGGTGTGATGTTGTCATGTACCTGTGTTAGCGCAGGATATGAAGGCAAATTCACACTCGTCCTCGTGTGAGTGGAGGCTCTCCAGGGAGCAGACCACCTCACACCCCTGTGCTGCATTCACACAGCGGATCTGCAGACGGTTCAGATCATTACGCATGTACCTGCAAATCAAACCAACACAGACAGAAACTCTTAGAGTGAGAAAAGCAGGATACTGTTATAACGCTACTTACTTGCATGAAAACTTATCTGCAAAACTTAAGAGTGCATGGTTACGAGGAGGTGAAGGAAGCAGCACAGCTGCAGGAGACAGAGACTGACCTGTACAGTGGTTTGAGGCTACCCACATCCAGTGGCAGTCTGTCCTCAGGACAGGAGTGGTGATGGACCAGCCAGGTGCTGATGCAGGAGCTGCAGTAAGCATGTTCACAGGGTGCCTGGAGGGGGCGCTCCAGCACGTCTCGACATACACAGCACAGTAGACCCTCATTCACGTAACCTACAAACCTCTCCAGATCATAGCCCATCCTAATAAAAAAACAAAAAGAAAAGTTAAACAGATTAAACAACACACGGGGAAAGCAGGAAGCAGTCTTGTTTCCTCATTTGTTTCTTTTCTTTTTTATCTTACCTCAGATGTCAACTTTCACTTCAACCAACTCCTACTTCCTTCTTTCTGCAGGTTTTGACTCCACTCTTTCCTCCACGGGCAACCTGGCGTCCTATCTCTGCCACATCCTCGCTCTTAACACCATAAAGGTGAGGGTCTCCTCTCCTTTGAAGCCCTCCCCTACCTTTGAGAGTGCGTCTCCGTGGAGAGGTAACCCTGACAACAAGGGTTCAGGACACAGGAAGGCAGCTGTCAGACGGGACCAGATCAGATGAGAGAGACAGGCCGAATTACAGTAAAACACTGAACACTGAGTCTAAAGCAGACAAATTCTGCAGCAGTGTTGTTGTCTAGCTTTTAAAAACCTGTGTTGCTGTTGTGAAGCATTCAGAGATTACTGCTGTCCTTCAGCTGTTTTTCTCTCTCTTAATGACCCACCCGATCCTAGGTTTCTCCCTCTCTCCCTCTCTCTCCCTCTCTCTGAATGTGGGATTAAGATGGATTACACTCTCTCCCTCCATGATTGGATTACAGACTCAATATCAGATGGCACAAGAACGCATGATCACAAAAATCAAAGAGCACACCAAATGCCTGGACTCATCATCCTGTTCTCTTTATATCCTCTCAGTAAGACTTACAATCACACAAACAGTAATTCAAAAGGACCCCGTACCAAGTAAAGCTCTCTTATGCATACAGTCCTCTGAAAAAGTATTTCCCCCTTCCTGGTTTCTTATTTTTTTGCATATTTTCACACTTAAATCTTTCAGATCATCAAACTAATTTTAATGTTAGACAAAGATCTTCGGGATGCCAGTGAACCACAGTGAAAGTCATTATACGTCAATCTTGATGATCCTCAAGACAAAAGTTTAACTTTCTGGAAGGGTTGAGTCTGGTTACCTCTGCATAAAACTAACTGCATAAAACTAACACTTCATTTAAAAAAAAGCATCATATCAACAGTCAAACAAGGTGGTGATAGTGTAATGGTCTGGGGCTGCTTTGCTGCTTTAGGACCTGGATGATTTGCTGTAATTGACGGAACCATAAATTCTACTGTCTACCAGAAAATCCTGACAGAGAATCTCCAGCCATCCGTTCTTACCCTGAAGCTCAATCTCACTTGAATTATGCAGAAAGGTTTGGAGGTTTGGATAGGGTTTTTTTCCCCCTTAATAAAGGTCCTGTCAGTATTATCATTTAATATCAGTATTAATAATTAATATTATTAAATATCAATATAATTAAGTATTAGCGAAAATAACTTAATACAACTACTATATAAGTATTACTTTCAGGTACCCTCAAATTGAGTAATTTGCGGTAAATTTTGAAAAGTTGACACATTTGCCTTAGCCTTGCAAAAAAACATGTGAGGCGAGTTTACTGTGGTAGCTGTGCTAGTGAAACAAAATATTACGAATAGCAGCTTACTTAAACGGTTATACCAATATTTATATTTCCCAAATATTCCTCCTTTCACGCTTTCACTGTGATTTAATAAAGGGGTAAAGTGAGTAGTAGGTGAGCTCGATTCACAAGTTATCGATCGACCGGTTGCTGAAATTCAAGCGGGATATAAACTCCATTGAATGCGACGGCTAAACTGTAGGGACAGAAGAACCAAACGTACCCTTTCGTTTTAACCACGCCCATTTGTATTGGTTCGCCCAATCAGATTCTTCAAACTGTTCAGCGGGAGAAACTGAACCGGTGCTAGAGTCACTGAAGAGGAAAGACAAGACGAGTTCTGTTGCAATTGAGTTAAAGGCTGCGATGTCAGGTGTTTTCATCTAACTTTTAGCTCGTCGGGGTATGTACAATACGTTGTCACACATTATCTGACTTGATAATAAAGCCTAAATTAGACTTCCAACCGCGTTATTATCATCTTTATGCTAGTGTTAGCTAGCTGGCTGTGTAACAGGTTCATGTTGCTATCTAGAAATTATCGTGATATGCCGATTATTCCAGCATAAGCAGGAATTGAGGACATGAAAAAGCTAGAAAGCCATCAGAGGGATAGTGACCCCAAGGATTTGTGTATGATAAAAAAGGATTGAGTGAGTTATTTTCGTCTCGATATGCAGTTTACCCAGTGCAGAATTTACATATGCAAATAATCCAAGTTTTCAATTTTTTGTTATTAATAGGGACAAATCATTAGCTAGGTGTGTTTATATAATGCTAAAGGACTGTGACATTAAAATAAATAGTGTTGGAGTTGGATTTGTTTTGAGCTAACGAGATAGTTTTTGCTACATGCCTCCTACGAAGTTATTAAGTGAGTACCTTTGAGGAAGATATTTTTGTTTTCTTTTTTCTTTTTCCCCCTGATATTAAACCACTCAAAGTATATTAAACCGTCTGTAATAAGCAGTAATCATGCAGTAACGCCTTAAGGCAAGTCCAGGTGTTTGTTGGGATTTTGTTACTGTATTTGCATAAAACGTAATGCATTAAATTTACTATATTAGTGTGCATACATTCCTCTTATATTTTGTGAGGAGGTAAAACTGATCACTGATCAGAAATATACACAAAAGAAGAGAAAAGCAGTCAGGAGGAAGCTACCCGTCTTCTAGCTTTATATTAGTGTTTTATTACTGGATGAAACACTGACTTACTGGAGAATGAAACCCACAGTGCAAAAAATACATCTCACGACACTGAATCAAATCTCAAGAGGGTTGAAAATTTTGATTTCAGAATGTGCTGTTTT